ATGATGATGATGATGATGATGATGATGATGATGATGATGATGATGATGATGATGATGATGATGATGATGATGATGATGATGATGATGATGATGATGATGATGATGATGATGATGATGATGATGATGATGATGATGATGATGATGATGATGATGATGATGATGATGATGATGATGATGATGATGATGATGATGATGATGATGATGATGATGATGATGATGATGATGATGATGATGATGATGATGATGATGATGATGATGATGATGATGATGATGATGATGATGATGATGATGATGATGATGATGATGATGATGATGATGATGATGATGATGATGATGATGATGATGATGATGATGATGATGATGATGATGATGATGATGATGATGATGATGATGATGATGATGATGATGATGATGATGATGATGATGATGATGATGATGATGATGATGATGATGATGATGATGATGATGATGATGATGATGATGATGATGATGATGATGATGATGATGATGATGATGATGATGATGATGATGATGATGATGATGATGATGATGATGATGATGATGATGATGATGATGATGATGTTGACCCTGATAGTGAGGGGTGATGAAGAATATGATGTTGATAATGGCGAAAGTGATAATGGTGACGAAGGTGATGGTGATCCTGAAAATTATGTTGAATGTAATGGAAGTCAGTGTAACGATAATATCGTAAAACGACCATAAAGCATGGACGACAAAAACAAAACAAAAATAGAAAATATTGAGTGAAAATTCATTGAGTCATCCCTCGATTATATAAAGTATTCCCGTTTTCTATGATACGGAGATAGAAGTGGTGTGTTAGTTATACTGTCAATTTTTAAGTTGTTGAATTTGTGTAGACAGGTAAATAAATAACACAAATGAAGGATCTCAAGACTTACACAATCACTAAATAAATAAAATACCCTGAATATACAAGCAGAGATACATGCGCAAACAGAAGCATACACGTACTTACACGAAACAATATTAAACTGAGAAATCAACAAGTTAAAGATAAATGAAAATAATAACAAAAATAAAAATAATAATGAAAAATAAAAAAAATAAAATACTCACCCTTGTAACGATCACCATGATGCCGGCTTGTCACTCAACCACCTGGAAGATCAGAAAGGAAAGAGTAAATAACACTGCACAACAATAACCATGATAATGCTGTAAAAAACGCTAAACTGCAAAATTGTTTGTTTATACTAAGGCGAGCAAGTGATCATATGCTAATCAAAGGGAATTCGCTATAATTTACATCCCTCTCTTTCTAAAGAAACAGATGAGTAGATGATTGTATAAATATAAAAATACACATTATATATATATATATATATATATATATATATATATATATATATATATATATATATATATATATATATACATACATATATGTGTGTGTGTGTGTGTATATAATATATGTATATATACATATATATAAGTATATATGTTACATATGTATTTTCATATATATATTACATACATATGTGTATTCCTATATGTATGTATGTGTATATATATATGCATATTTATATATATACAGAAAAAATACTTAACGTATTTAGAATCTCAACAGATTTTTCAGTGGCTCCATCGTAAGCTTCAGTCTCATTATCAGAACTATCATAAAAATACCATGAAAATAATAACAATATCAGCTTCGTTATCATTTGCACCAAAAAGGTCTCATGGTACCGATCTCACAGTAACCATCAGAATATTATCATTACCATCAATATCATCATCATATTCGTCATCATACAAATGATTTTATTATCATAATGACAACATCACCATCATTTTCATAACATCACCATCATGATAAAAATATTACATACGCCGTAACCGACACTAGCGCCACGCATCACCCTGGCGACTGAGTCTCAAAGCTCGAGTGCGCGCGGCGGCCAACAGATGGCGGCGGCGAGTAACGCACATGGTCGACTTGGCAAGTTCGGAAATATTCAGAAAAAAGTACCGTTTCAAAATCCCTCGGGCGATGGTCTAACTTTGGTGTTCTATGGGAGAAAATGGACATTGAATTTATAAATACGGTGGAAGCCTTTGATGTTTCATGATAGATGACTGTGATAATGAATTGAATATTGCATTAAGTTATCGTAATTGGCTTCCGGGTTACTGAACATCCCTTTGAATTCATATAATTAAATTCATTATATTCTCATAAATATTCGTTGTTCTTACCTCATGGCATATATTCATTCTTTACAAACAACATAATACATATTAATGTCCACCCAAGTATGACAGAATTTCTAATAATAGATATGACTTTATGTATTTTCTTGTATATATTGGGCTGTAATTGCAGTCCACTGTATTCTGCTCGTTTGTATTTCTCTGTACTTACACGAAAATGTGAATACTAATTACATTATCATTCGAGGTCCTTAGAGATGATGATGATGATGATGGTGTGTATGTGTGTGTGTGTGTGTGT